CCTTCTACACCATCCTCACCCCCATGATCAACCCACTCATATACAGCTTGAGGAATAAAGAAGTGGCCACAGCTCTAAGAAAAGTGCTGGGGAGATGTGCTTCCTCCCAGAGAATCAGAGCAGGGGAAATGTCCAGGAAATAAGAGGGCAGGCCAATTGCAAACATCCCTGGTGCTGTGGCCAGTGACACACAGTCTTTCCAGAAAATATTTTTATGGTTCTGAAAAATGTTCATTGTCATTTTAACAATCCCAAATTTTCAACAGGCAATATCATCCTTTTATAAGCATTAATTAAGAACGATAGCCACAGGTGACAAGCATTAGCCAACCTGCTTGTCTGGATTCACCGGCATTTTCCAGATAACATTCTCAGTCAAGTGGCACACAGGCAGGCCAAATAGCCTCTGAAATGCCCTGAACAGATAATTTTACGTCACATGTGGTCATGTGTCCCTTTTGTCTGTATTGCCAACCACCCTTTGAATGGAAATTGCAAGGAGCATTTTGCCATGTCCTTGATAATTTAATTTCAAACTTTCAATACAAGTAAAATATTTTCTAGTGCTAAGAGTATTGAAGTTTTATTTAGAAAGCTTTTGAAAATGATATGATTGTATTCTGGATTCTGTGTTCTTAGTCACGTCTTTTGAATGTCTTATTTCTGAAATTACAATGAGGATACTTTCCATGTTATTATTCACATAGAGTCTAATACAGGCCTGGAAATTAATAAACATTTATTGGCTTATTGATGGATTGACTGAAAATTAACTGTGCCATTGAGATTGCAATGTTTATACAAACCTACAAAAACTTCCATTTATGCTTTCATAAAATGGTAATAGATAAATGTAGAATTAACTCCCTTGGGTTAAGTTATTCAGCTTTCTTATTCTCAATTTCTCCATTGGTATGCTGGTGGATAAATGTTTCCTTTTTTAATTAGTTGAGATCAGGTGTGATATTTGGTAGGTGTGCAACTTTGAGAGAACATTAACTACACAAAAAACACACTGAGGCTTCTACCATCCATTTATTTAACATTAACTTCCTCCTTTCTGTAAGGTCCTGAAATAAAAGAAATAAAAATGTATTGATTTACCTGTTGCTTATTTTCTCTATCAGTAGAAGGCTTTGAGGGGTTACATAGTTGAAAAAGACTAAGCAAAGATTATTCAATCCTATGTTATTCTGGTGTCAACATAGGGATAGAGTGAAAATGTTTTCTCCATTGATACTAACGTAGGTGAAAAAATTATTCTCTTTAATATGCTAATCACAAGGTTGTTTTTGTCTCTGACATTTCCTAATGCTTTGACCTTTACCCTGACATCAGACATACAAACAAATAAAAATAAGATGGAAGAATGCCATGGAGGAATGAAATTTTTCAAGTAGAGAAACAGACCAGGATTCATTTATGAAATACCCTCAATGTTATTTCAATTTGGTTCCATTCCCTTTTAATTCCTTTGTGTCTCTGCAGTAATGCCTTCTCCCTTCTCCATCCTCCTGCCTTAGCTAACACTGTCTTGATCTTTCTCTTCATAAAAGCACATAACTTCAAACTTCACATTTCTCCTTTGCCCAGGACATTTGTGCTTTATTTCTGATTTCCTCGGGGAGTGCCCTGGACCTGTGTTGCTATTTATTAACATCTAATAGAACTTTTGTTCTTGCATTTCCAAGATTAATCCTCTGCACATTTAACAAGGGCATTCAACTCATACACTGATAGATATTTCAAAAGTACCTGAAAACCAAGTAAGGGAAATGCATTTAGGTGAGTTCCTAGAAATATCACAGGGGTTAGTGATTGGAGCATGGACGGTGGGGACTTCTGCAATGTTTTTTAGAGTCTATTCAACAAACTCAGTGACGGTTACATGGACGTGTTCATTTTGTGATGATTCACCAATCCTGCTACTTCTGATATGTGAGCTTTTCTGTTCTATGCTCTATTTTTTTTATTATTTATTTATTTATATATTTTTTCTATGCTCTATTTTACTACAATTAAAAAAAAATTTTGAATCTCATCCTCCACATGGTAGGTGCCCACTCCCCTCACACATAAAACTAGTTCCACCCTAAAAGGGACTGGCCAAGGTTTTTTCCCCAGTCATCTCATATGATGATTGCAGTTACCTAATTTTCCTCTTTATTAAAAATAATATATTAATAGAAATAAAAAATATAAATTATACTAACTTAAAAATAACTTTAATATTATCAGTTGTATACCCACAACAGGACCATGCACTTTTCCAGATGATGGAGAAAAGATGAAGAGAAAACTGTCTCCATTTTTCAAAACGTTCAGTTACATTATCTGATCTTGATTCTGATCCTAACAAGTCCTATGAAATATTTAGAGAAAGAGTTAGTCCCATGGGAGATAAAGCGGATGTTAACAGCAAATTATTACCTCTTTCAAGCAAGAGACAGATGGGACCTCAGAACTATGTCTTCTGACTTCTGGTCTGGTGTTTTGGTTCCAAACCTTGTTATTAATTGATAGACCATTTGCAAAGTACAGAAGCACATCATAATGTGCAGCTGCCAGCTTGTTAGCCCTAAGAATCACCTGGGGACAAAGGTCCCCCATGAGCAATATGTTGATAAAACCCTTGTTCATTTTCTGTTGGATGCTGGCTAGGCTGGTCTACCAAAGAACTGAAGACCTGTGTCGAGGGCTAGTAAGACCCCCATGGGGTCTTTCTACAGGTGAGGGATATGGACATAAAATTAACTTAACCCTTGTTCCTACAAATTTGCTTTATTTGTACAGTAAATAAATATATTTATGCAGTATAAAATCATAATATTGGAAAGCATAAGATCTACTTATTAAGTACTTTAGCTGCCTTATTAAATACTCAGTAAGATTTTATACAAGAGGGAGTGATCAGAAAAAACTGAAAATATTTAGGCAATTATTTAGCATGGTGAAGAGAGTTCAGATTTCTGCTGTCTAGAAAATGACAGTACATCTCTGCCAGGTTAGAAAACTGCCTTTGAATAAAGTGAAATTCTGCTAAGAGAGCTGACAACATTGTGGAAACAAAATGCTTGCAACGTTAGATTTTGACTCTACAAAGAAGTTGTGTATTGATAGGTTATTTAGCCAAAACAACAGACTGATTCATACATAAATAATAAGCTAAAACCAGGTGAATTTTTATTTACTTTTTTAGATTTAATTGTGTTGAGGGTAGATCTTCTTAAACCTGAATGACTACCATGGTCATGTCTCACATTTACCAAACATTCCTGAGTGTGCTTCCTTCAAAATCCCAGAGACTCAAAGGTCAGGAAAATATTTACTGTTTCTGTTTTGACTATATTCCTTTGGTTTGTATGACTAGCTAAAAATATAAAAGTGATAAATTAATACCTGTAGCATTAACTCCCATATTGCTTTATTTTTTTTCTTTGATCATCTTGTTAAGCCTATTTTACTTTTTTAAATTTTACTCACCACATAAGCAAACACAGGGATATTTATTTTGTTTGCTGATGCATCCCAAGCACCTAGAAATTTTCCTGCTATACAATACGTTCTCAGTAAATATTATTGAATATTGTTGTATTAAGTGAATGAAAACCACTTAATTTTAGAAGGCTTAGCACTATGAAACATAAATTTTATTTCTTTTTTCTCTTTTTTTTTCTTGGGTATCTCAGTTTTGAAGAGTTGCAGTGAAAACTTCAGTTAAAAGGTAAAACTTGATGTTTACGAGCTCACATAAAATTGCCTGTTAGGGTAAAGCTGAACAGAAGAGAACTGGACTAAAATTCCTTCCAACTTCACTGATTATTAAGTGATTTCTATTAAGTATTTTAAAATTGTGTCACACGTAAAGAAACAGCATTAGCTTTTGCTGGATTCTTCGTAGATATTCTTTCTCCACTGGAGCACACAGGAGGTAAGTCCCATAGAGACACATTTGCTTAGGTGTGAAAACAATTGTTCTTTTTCTTAATTTCCAAAGTATTTAAGTAAAGAAACAGCATTAGCTTTTGCTGGATTCTTCGTAGATATTCTTTCTCCACTGGAGCACAAAGGAGGTAAGTCCCATAGAGACACATTTGCTTAGGTGTGAAAACAATTGTTCTTTTTCTTAATTTCCAGAGTATTTAACTCCAAAGTATTTAAGTGCCATGAGAAATGATGTTAATGAAGCATCTCATAAACTTGGAAAAGTGAAATCAGATAATGTGTTTGAACATAGTTAAAACCATGTCTTTGGGTTTCAGCTTCAGAAGAGCTGATGAAGGTTCAATAAAGAAAGCTGCCTTTCTTCCTCCCTGGATAAACTGTGGAAAACTTCTTTAAAGGGAGAAAGGGTAATAGAATTTCGACCCACGTGAGGGCTGCTTGCAAATAAGAGTCCTTTGTAACTTGAAAGATTGTAAAAATCTTTACCTTTTGAGTATTTTTAAGACCAAGATTACAATATAGCCTGTGTGTGTATTAAGAGGTTCCAGTCTGAAGATAGAGAATCAGGGATAAGGATATTCAAAGGGTCTTCAAAAATCTCATGAAAAGATTCTTACTATCTCTTTTATTCAATTTTTTCACAAAATTTTTGAAGAATGCTCATGTTCTTCAAAGTATTGAAAAGTGTATTAAAGACAAGAATCTTTCCATGAACTTTTTAACAGACCCTCATATATATATATATGCACCTTTTTCACTTAAGAATGCAAAGAAACTATCATACCATGATAATGAATGTAGATGCATCTCATATTCCAATGATCACTTAGATTTCACTATGTACTAAATTATTTAGTGTGTGTCTGGTTAGCAGATGCCTAGGTGTCTTCTGCTTTCTTATTGCAAATAACACGAATATGAATATGTTTTCATAGAGTAAGTTGCCCATTCATCTGATTATTTTCATACTAAAATTTCCTAGGAGTAGAAGTTTACATGCATTATTTTTCAGATACTTGACAGACTCCTTGGTGCTCTCTCATAGAAAATAAAAACAGCCATTTCCATTTCCATCAGCAATTTTTGAGAATCTTTCCATTTTTTTTTTTTTCCTTTTTGTCTTTTTTCGTGTCCGGCAACGGATCGCAACCCTCAGTGTCGCGCCCGCACCCAGACTGGGACCGGCAACGGGATTGCA